CACAGCGACGGCGGCTTAATTATCCGAGAAATTTGGCTGGCGTGTTCAAGGCAGAGCCAAGAATTGGGGTGACGGCTCACAGCTAGAACAAGGTCTAGTCGCATGCTAGCTAGAGAGTATATGGGGTGTGATAATTGTGCAGTTTTAATGCATCAGTTCGTTCCTCCGTAGGTATTCCGTCTCCCGTCTTCCGTCGGAGACAGAAAATGAAAGAGATAAGACCGGAGTTACTTATAAGCATTGAGATCAGCGCCACCTTCTACGTATACTAGTATAGTACGTAGATATAAGCAGCCCAGTCAGGCACCATACTGCACGTACTGGAGCAAGAAAGAAATGAGGCAGTGGGCGTGGCTGGACTAACGCAGCGCTATACGAGTCCCTACAGGAGCCCAAGAGATTGGAAAATGTAGACGACAATAAAGCCACATCGAGTCAGAGAATTCGGATTGGATATACGGTACGCCACGCTGGCTATTGGCACTTACTACCATCAACTAGTTACATTAGTTATCTAGGCGTACCGTACAGGAATCGATTGATTCTGGAGATCAGGGTCGCGCGCGCGGCCTATCTCCGAGGTCTACCAATGACCTACAAGATATGTTAACGACTAGTTCCCAAAGTAGTAAGCTTACGCTGCCGATACGAGGCAGATCCAATGACTCAGCTGCCGAGCCAACCGAAGAAGCCCTCAAATCGATGGCAGATCATCTGGCAGATTACGGGAAGCGTCTGGTTGACGACGTAGAATTGCTTTGTAAGCGGCTTCTCCACTACCTAGATTAGGCTTGGCGAGGGTCCATCTTCAGGTGCTAGACTGCTAGTAGACAGCTAGGCTAGAGATATTCTTTGGTCCCCGATCGAGTAGATACACGCCGTTGAGGGAGGAGGGGGAAAATACCAAGAAGCGAGCATACGTATGCAGTGGCATAATCGTAGTGGCTTCGTCAGTAGTTTGTTACTAGACGTTAACGTAGTTGATTTTCAGCTAGTTAACCCCTCTTAGGAGGGTCGCTAGGGCTGAAAGGAATGAATCCCAGGCTGCATTGCATTCATCCCAAGAATGAAGAGTCGTGAAGATCTCTTTCAGCGTAAGTGCCACTGTCTGCACCAGCCAGGGAACCACGCTGTCAATGCACTGGACCCCCCTCCTCCTCTCTGCTCCTGGCTTTTCCCCTCAAGAGACGTAAACCACCCACAGTATGAAACGACCAATGTTTAGTCCTCCTAGCTATTCTTATCGTTCTCATGTTTCCAAGCCGAATCTGGCCCAGATCGGTGCATGTCAAACCTCGGACGTCGTCCGTAAAGTAACTTTTATTTTGCCTCAACATGATAATTATTTATCCGCGGAGAAAACCAAACAAAAGCAAAGCGAGAAAAAGAAAAAGAAAAAGAGAACGAAAACAAAAAAAAAAAAAAAAAAAACCAAAATGGAGCAAGAACCCTTTTTTTTTTCTTTCTCATGCCAAGTGTCAGTACCTTACTGTGGCTTGAGCCCTATGGACCCTTTCCCGGCTACACTAGACTCCCTTAGGTACTGCTCAGCGCAAGGTAGAACGACCGGTGCCAGAGACCAATGCAGGGATTTTCCAGTAGTAGCTGGAAAGAGGGGGTTGTGTCTTGTTATCTTGTTGTTATTCTTTCTTTCTCGTATTTCAATCTCTACTGTTTCTGGCATGGTTTACGACGGTTTTTTTTTCTCTTTACTACGTACTACTATTGCTCACATCTTTTTCCGTTGTCTTCTTTGTCCCGCGGGCTGTAGTGTCATGGCTACTACGAAGATAACGATCTAGAATCGGCATTATGTCTAAGCATCTTCTTTGCTTATTTTGGGACATTTTTTTTCTTTTTACCCTCGTTTACTTTGCAATTCCCGTCTTCGGGGAACCGGACTCCCCTCTCACCGATCGAATTTCGATCAGACATTGAGCCCGGATATCCCGGCATTTGGATGAAATTATACGCCTTTTCACCATTAAATCACCCACACTTACATCGAAGTGGTTTAGTTCGGAGGGTAGGCATACGTAGGCAACTAAAGGCAGAAATAGACAGACCGGGACAATGACAAGTAACAATCGTGCGCCACTTTCACGCGCTCGCACACAATCAGAGACATGGCTTGGATCTTAGATACGACGTATCCAAGAAAAGAAGAGTCAGGGTCCTACTGCTACTTTAGTCTGGTAGATAGCTAGCTAGCTAGCTAACTAGCTATCTTTAGTATACGTTTGTTATAGGTGATGTCTCAGAGCTCGCTTCGGACCAGCTGTTCATTGAAGCGAGCTCTTACTTAATACTAAAGGATTAAGCAGAAGAACAGGGTGGGATTGGAGTGAAACAGCGACTGCGGGAATCCCGGGTTGGCAGGGGAGGTGGTTGTGGTGGTGGTGGAGGGATCTCGGGTTTTCAGTGATAAGGGGGGTGGTGGTCAGTCGGGTAGGGTCGGTCGGTCGCTTGACTGCTGTGCATACAGCATATGCAACATCACTAGCAAAAACAGAACCCCCTGATTTTTTCGATACAACATTATGAAGAAAAGCAGTAAAAATAGAAAGAAAGAAAAAAACAACAGATCCACGTAGTTCAGACTGAATAATACTGTTTGGTTCGTTCCAACAACTACCGGATGTTGGTCCGGATCCTCAATGCCGCTGAGTAACAATAACAACTGCCTGCCAAGCACACGCACACAATTTCCTCGTCAAAATTCGAAGTTGAGCGAGCGCCTGACCCTTGCGATCTTCAGGGTCCGGAAAGAAAGTTCGGAACCGCAGCTGGGCAAGCGTCGACGGACCAAGGTAGCACTGAGTCCCGACTAAGCTCGCTACGGTAGTCGATATCCGAGGAGGAGGAGGGGGGGAAGTTGACCCATCCATCACATCCAAGGGACAGGAACCGAGAAATGGGAACTTTTTAGAATGAGACAAGATTCACACCGAAGGGGGGAAAGATTGGATTGGATGTGGATGGGGAGGGGGTAATCCGGTAACGGTATTGGATACCATAACGGGTAAATTACCCTTTTCGAGGCAGTAAGATTACTCCGGATACGCATATACTTTCTTCCCTTTTTTTTTTCTCCCCTTGCCCTCCTCGGGGTCCATTCAACTTCAAAGATTGATTGGAGAAGAAGAAAGAGGGACGAAGGGTTGTTGTTGGTGAGTGAGTGGGGTGGGGCTGTTATCAAGTAGCCTTCTTAGCTACACGCTAGTGAGGGTTGGGTTCATTCTGGTTTATCGTGCAGAAAGCAGGTGGAGTGGAAGGGGATTGATGGGATTGGTGTAGGGGGTGAGAGTCAAGAGTCAGTTAGGTGAGAGATATTGCTCGCTCGGATGTATTCAATAACTGTCTGTTCAGATTGCATATCATTTCTATAGATTGTACAGTAAAAGATTGTAGTCGGAGTATCGAAGTAGTGTCACGTAGGATCCAACTAACTCAAACTAGCCCTAGCCGATATCGATTCCAATTGTCCATGCAAAGACGCCTTGTCTCTTCCGTCCAACAATACAACTAAACTCAACTACTTTTCTATCGAAACTACCCACCTCGGAGGTATATCCACAGTCCACACTTCCCACACCATTCACCTCACCACCACCACTAGCAACGCCAGCTGCGTAAGCAGAGACGTCACTCAGTGGGGTCCGAGATTTGACATGCCGCGCGTAGAATTAGATTAGTCCTCAGATACGCATGAATTAGCCGGAGACTAATCTGTTTGAGGTCTAATCGCTTTCCCCCTCCGTTCTAGACTGTCGCCCGGTGGCTTGTTGGCTGAAGGTCCGGTTCAGCTATGCTTTTCAGGGCTCAATTCGATGCCACTATCTTCAGGCTAGAGAGTCAGAGAGAGAGAGAGAGAGAGAGAGAGAGAGAGTCAGAAAGAGAGGGGACGAAGGGTCAACACGAAGCAATTAGACTGGATCACCTGGTGTTAGACTGGGAACATACGTAAGCCACACAAACTACGGGGTAAAACGACCGCTTAGTTAGGGACCGATCAGGTGTCGAACCAAACACTAACTAACCCAAGATACCCTGTTTTCCTTCATCGATTCTAATCTACAACCATGACACGGTACACACCCACACTCACACCCACACACAATCCATGCTGCCCATCCCATGGTACCTGATGACCCCAGAACGGCCACGATCGTACCGAGGATACAAGTTCATACCATGTATAGAGCCGATCTCATTGTTTATACCCCGTAATCACGTTGACTTCATGACCCTCCGACTTGGATCATTTCCCTTGACACCTAGATACGTAGGTGCATACGAATGCTCCGGTGCCCAGTGGGGCCCAGCCTAGCGTCGCCGAGCAATTGCTTAGGGCTCTCAACTAGACTAGTATAGATATGTAAAAGAACGAAGAAATTCAAGATGGAAGCGGGGATGCTCCTCCGTTAGCTATTGGGGCGGACATCAATTAAGGGTTCCCTTAACATTTTTTTTATTTTCTTTTCCATTTTTTTGCCTCATTTGCGTCCTGAACCGTGGCATCGAAATTTTTCTGCCTGTTGCTCCTACCAACTAGTGTGGCCTTCATAGCGGTTAACTCAAACCGAATCCGTGCAAGGCACACGCACATCCCCGAAGAGGTCTACGTAGCGTCTTTTCATTCACCTATTCAATCATCCCGTCAGAGATGATACGATGTCGTGATGAGGGCATTTTGACGAAGACGAAGGGGGAGGAGAAGCCCCCGACGTTTCGGATTCCCATTTCCCCCTTCGGCTTTCCTATTGACTTGACTACGTATGTGTATACGCACATTCATCATGAATGGATTATTCCTACGCATAATCCGGAAAGGCCCAGCACTTTCTTCGTCGTGGGACCTAGTTTACTTTCCTGCGTTGACTGATCTCGATCAGCGCCTTGTAAGTGCGGAGGTCTCGTGCGCACGCCGCCCATGCTGCTGCTGCCGCAGGCCTTACGCAGCCAACACCGGAGGAATTACTCCAACATATCAAGGCTAACTAAACCACGGCGGCGCAGCCTGCAGAGAAGATCATTCCTTCTCGGTCGTAGTGGACGTACGAGTAAATGCCGCTGGACATATGCGTGACAGGATCAGACTGCCGTCTAGCAAAGTATAACGGGCGCCACCCCTCAGCGAGTCAGGCTTGTAGGCTAGTAAGCAGCCACGGGGCAGGACCCTTGAATTTGGGTGCTTTTGGGAGGCGGCTACTGCTGCTGCTACTGCTGCTTGAGACTGATCACGTATGCCGAAATGAAGGCGCTTTGCATGAGCGTTGGTTGGTTCATGTGGTCAAGGGGATACGTTTGCAGGTGGGAAATGGGCTGATTGTATGCGTACTATGGCTCTTGGCTGGCTTGGCCTCTTGCAGCAGGTCCCAGGCAGGGTCCGAGTTTTGTTCTGCTGGGTGTTGGACCCTCGTTTGATACGACTGGACTACCTGTTTGGCATTGCAGACGGATGTGGTTGTTCACGCACTGCTTGCATCGTGTTGAACGCTGTTGTTCCATTATCAGAGAGAGAATTATGGCCCCACGACGACGCACTTACGTGTCTTTTGGCATTGGAGGATGACGATGACTGCCCATTCAACGCACCTTGGTAGGCGCTCAGCCAGCCCAAGTCAGGCGAAAATAACATGTATATGCCTGTGGATTTGACAATCTGCATGTTTCATCTATGGTCAGAAACAAACATGAACTTACAGTATTGAGTCTATGATTAACTGTTAGTTACCTTAACTGATAATCAGTAACTGCCCTTTGACAGCTGACGTTTGCCTTTAGAGGCCTTTTCATAGTGAGACATTACGAGCGATTCGCTGGGTGCTAACCGGTTACCTCGATGTCGACATCGCCCCAGAACCGCCCTCAGCTTACCCTCCATCTCATTCAGGCCAATGAATGCGCGCTGAAGTTCGTCCTCCTGTCGCTAGCCCATTCAGTGATACACAAGATACCGATACGTCTCGAAGTCAAGCCTTGAGGCACCGATGACTCAGATATGGCATTGTGCCCTAGGCGGGATTACTGTTGAGACATTTGGTCCTTCCTCGATGGAAACTTTGTGCGCACGTGGCGAACGAATCTTGCAGTTGTCGAGATGCAGCAGCCTCGTGAGCCTTAGTACAGCGAGGAACTGAATAGTGTTGAGGTGGTTGACCTAGTTACGCTTCCAGTGTAGAACAATGGAGCTATCTGCGCCGAGTTGAGGAAATCAGAATGGACTGGCACAGATGTGCGACACAGATGTTAGGCTAACGGCGATGAGTGACGAACACGTCCTTACGGACAAGGCCACTGCTACAGGACTACTACAGAGTATGAGAAAATTATCAATCAATTTGTTGAGTGCTTGGCTTCTTATATGTAAGTCTACTACGGGCGCACACTACAGACCTGCAGTGGTCGGGATGAACGTTCCGCTAATATCTCCCAGCCAGCAGGTACGGCTCTCAAGAGATAGAATGCATTCCTGGGAATTCAATTCCAGGTGGCCCTGGATGATCTCATATCGATATGTGGCGAGCCTATCCCTGTCCGGCAAGCAACCGGCTGGAATGTTCAAGGCCCCTGGAATGCGAGATGGTCAACCCCTACCATTTAGGGCCTATGCTACTGTCTTATTTCGATCGGGCCTGGATAACTGAGTAAAACAATGGCAGCTTTGCTTTTTGCCCATGGGGGTATCACGAAATAGAACTTCTGACTAGTTGGTGTTTCCGTGCGATACTGATGGTGGTATCAGCTTAGCCTGAGAGGACTGAGTACCTCCTAGTAGCAAGCAAACTTCCAGAATTCGAGAAACAAGTGGCGTGCAAAATCCAATTCATGGCTGGATCTTATCTTGAGACGCGATCTTGCAAAACGCGAGGTATTCCCCCCGCGACATCTATCCAGCCCTTCCATTCCGCACGTCGGCAAAGTCTCATCGCACAGGGGGTCCGGGGCAACAGCGAGGAGTATATCTAGGCTCGATTGTCTCGTCAAACTTTCAAATCAAATTTCACCTCAAACTTACTCCCCAAGGCACTTAACCTGTCCCCATTGCCCTTTCGTACTTATACTCTTAATCTTCATACCACGTCACACTGCCCTCTCATAACACCATGCATCCCAAGACGCCATCAGTGACCTGCATGGTCCTCACATTCCTCACCTTCTCTTCTCTCACCCTCGCATATCCTGTATCTACATCGAAGAAGGACGTTGTATCGAGAGCGGTGAGTTCGAGATCTCCTGACCCGGTAAGTATTCTTGTCTGTATACTCACACCCACCAAATTAGCTGACGCTCTCGCCACAGCGAATGATCCCTCAAGCCGATGCCCCCGCCGACGAGAACAGTGATCTTATCGACACCCTTTTTGACTCTATCGGACTTCATGACTTGACGAAGCTCAACCACTGGAAGTCAGACAATGAGCCTGATAAATCTGATCAGCCTGATGTCATTGATGACAGCAACAGCCCTACAAAGACCGTGACTAGCCAAAACAACGATGTCGATCAAGATGATGACAAGTCGACGGATAATGGAAAGGATGCCAATAAGGTTGCCGATGACTCGACCTCCCATGATTACGAGAAAGTCTCTGACGACGGCAATAACAGTAAGGGTAACACCCTTCCGAACCCTGCATCGGACGCTTCAGGGTTCGCGAAGGCCTTGATGCAGAAGATACAGGACGCTGTCAAGGATGCTCTGGATAGCAGCGACGAGCACACGCTTCACTGAGCTATACTGATAGAGTACTTCTATCTCATTTTGTCTCGACTCTTAATGGATTGTAATGTTTGGTTTGGCGAATGCTTTGTTTGTCTCGATGTCTCTCCTATACTTCTGTTTTTGTGAAAAAGTATTCAGCGGCGTGTCACGATTGACGAAGTCCAATGGCAAGGAAGCTATATAATGAGTTAGTACCTGAAGTAGAAAATTGACTTGGTGATCCTAGAACCTCTCGGTCTCCGTTCATCTATTTGATTCTCCGTTCTTGGGGGATTTAACTTCCGTCCGTCGGTCTACGAGCTTAACTCCAGCTAAATCCGGGAGGGAGCCCCTCGGCCTCCATGATTAATACCGCGCCAGATCTGATCCACTGAACTCATCGAATCTAATCGTACTCTCAATGACAATCAGCGGGTCTCATATCCATTTCTGAGTCAAGACCGATTATCCAGGACGATGTCCGAGGAAATCCGAATATTGGTGTTGAGGTGGGGGAAAGCAGAGATAAAAGCCCCTCATTGACGCGACCCAAACCCGAACTCAAGCTTAAATACCATCCATTCGTCACCTCTTATTCTTCAAGAGCTACACAACTTAAACTTCCAATCGAACACCACAAACCAACCCAAAATCCACAGCACACCAAGCAAAATGCCTTCCCTCAACGGACGCGAAATCGGCCACACCGGCTACGGAACCATGAGTATGTTGGAATCGCAACAATCAACCCCGCAGCCACCATAATTCTTTTTTCGCAGCTGACGATAATGATGTCAAATCAAAGGAATGACCTGGGTCCCTCAGCCTCCCTCGGACGAGCAATGCTTCGAAACCCTGAACGCCACTCTCAAGCTCGGTGCCAACTTCTGGAATGCCGGCGAGCTCTACGGCACACCCGATTACAACTCGTGCCACCTCCTGAACAAATACTTCACCAAGTACCCCGAGAACGCCGACAAGGTCGTCCTGAGTATCAAGGGTGGCTTGAAGCGTGGAGAGCTTACCCCCGATAGCTCCGAGGCCAACATCCGCCGCAGTGTGGACGAGTGTCTGCGCGTGCTGGACGGAAAGAAGACGATCGATATCTTCGAATGCGCTAGACAGGATCCCAATGTGCCGGTGGAGCAGCAAGTGACTGTTCTGGCGCAATATGTCAAGGAGGGAAAGATTGGAGGTATTGGGTTGAGTGAGGTGGATGCAGAGACTATTCGCAGAGCGTACGTTGCTACAGACATTCATTTACTTGCAGAAGCTGGTTACACGAAAACAAAAAAAGGGAATAGCAGCTGACGAGATCACGCAGACACAAGGTCCACCCGATCGCAGCGGTAGAGGTTGAATTGTCCCTCTTTGACACCACAATCCTCAACAATGACGTCGCTAAGGTTTGCGCTGAGCTCAACATCCCCGTTGTGGCTTACTCGCCTTTGGGCCGCGGTGTGTTGGCCGGTGCTTTCACCAGTGTGAACGAGATCCCTGAGGGCGATTTCCGCAGAATGCTACCCAAGTTCCAGGAGGAAGCCATGAAGGAAAATATCAAGCTGGTCAATGAGGTCAAGGCCCTGGCTACGCGCAAGGGTGTCGCTCCTGTACAGATCGCCCTGGCTTGGATTCTCACTCTCAGCGGCAAGCCGGGAATGCCCACCATCATTCCCATCCCCGGTGGTACGACGGTTGACAAGGTTACTCAGAACCTGGAGGGAGTGCCTCGCCTTAGTGATGCTGAGATGGACGAGCTTAAGGGTATTTTGGAACGGATCCAGGTGGTCGGAAGTCGCTACTAAGCTACAGTTGTACGGTCTTCACGAGGCGAGTGCTTTGGTAATTTCTTGAGATTGAACATAATATCATGGCTATATATATAGTATAGGAGAGATAATGAGATCCTGAATAAGCCAGAATTGTCAGCTTGTGTTGACGTGGCAGCAATGGAAAGCTTCATGGACACAATGAAAACAGACGAGGGGTCAGATCAAGTGTAGAAGAGTCAACATGCAATCTCACAAAAAGGAGATTGTCAGGATTGCAGAATTCTTGATTAAATCATCATGGAAGTTGCGGCAGATTCAAAACACAATAAAGTGGTAGGAAATTGGCGGCAACTTACCCTGCTCAACAGTGTGTGGGCAGAATCTGTTAGACAGATCACGAAAACAAGAAACTATTAGCTAGAAAGTAGCTCAATTAGCTACTGGGAGAGAAATTGAGTCACATTAAATCTCAAAGCGAATTCCCAAGTTGCGTTATTTCCCAATGTCTTGGACAAGTGAAGTGTAAAAGAGGAGAAGTAAAGAAAAGGGAATTCGGGCGCGAAGAAAATTGGCGGCGCAATAGCCTCATCACGTGCCGGGTGCTCAGCCCAGTGTATACTCCGGCGCCGGATATCGAACTTCCAAACATCTCAAACCTGGCTTACTCCTCCAGCCAGTGCCAGTAACACTCCTCAAGGCCCACAGTTGTCGCTCAATTTGCTCCCCGTCATTCACTCTCCAACTCTGCTCAAAGCGGGCCCTCCTCTCCTGTCAACCACCATGACGGAATCTCCGGGCTCCCCCCTCTCCTCCATTGCTTCCGACGACATGTCGGATCGCGACGACCTAAAGCAAGCCTTCTCCCCCTCCGGCTCCAACATGCCTCCCTCAAAGCGTCGTCGCACTGGCGTTGCCTCTTGGGATCGCAATACTCCGGTTTCGACCACTTTCCAAGATGACCTCCCTCCTCCTTCTCCCTCCACCTCTATCTCGTCCGATACCTCCGGCGACATTCCCAATTCACCCAACACCCTCGCTCTCATCGGTGGCAGTCAGGATGACGACTACAGCGGCCAAGGAAACGACCAGGTTACCGTCTGTCGCTGGGATGGATGCGACGCTGGTGATCTAGGCAATATGGACGGCCTCGTAAAGCACATACATGAAGAACATGTCGGGAGCCGACAGAAGAAGTACTCTTGTGAATGGTCCGATTGCAGTCGAAAGGGTCAAACTCACGCAAGTGGCTACGCGCTGCGCGCACACATGAGAAGCCATACGCGAGAAAAGCCCTTCTATTGCGCTCTACCTGGTAAGTCCTCCTAGACCTTTCCCATCATACGTTCCCTGCCCGTTATCCCTTGGCAACGTCTAACATTGTTCCTTCAACCTGTCTATAGAATGCGACCGCAGCTTCACTCGATCAGACGCCCTTGCCAAACACATGAGGACTGTTCACGAAACAGAGGCGCTTCGTCCCTCCGACCCCGTACCCAAACACCACAACGTCGCTGCTTCGGCGGCAGGAACGCCGACTGCGACCCCGTCTGGCAAGATCCAGCGGTTGAAGCTGAAGCTATCATTCCCGCCGAAAGACGATGCAGGAGATCACAGCGAAAGCGCCAATGAGGAGGCAGCAGGACTAGAGGACGATCTTCACATACCTCCTGGTGGACTGGAAAAGGAATTCGACACCTACGAAATGCTGCTCGAGGGGCCGCAACTGTATCGGCTGCTTCTGAGACAGATCCACTGGGCACAGCAGGATGGTGCGGAGCTACGCGACGCATGGGAGAAGATTCGCGTCAAGAGAAAGGAATCGTGGATGGAGAAGGAAGCGATCTTTGATGACTTGATGGAGGCCGAGGTACGATTGTTCAAGCTCCTCGATGAGAAATTCAGCGTGGCCAAGTCTGCGCCAGCAAACGGGACGGATAATGCACGGCAGTCGGAGCCACGGCAGTCAGAGCCAACGGAGATGGATGTTGCACAGGACCAGGGGTCTGGGTCTGTCCCGCCATGATGCGATGGTCGGTATTGATGGCGGTGGTCACTTAATATATCCTTCTTGACTTGATCCCTCCTGCCTTTGCTATTGCTCTTCCAACCCCTATCCTCTTGTACTTTACCTTCTTGTTTTTGGGACTTCTTTTTGGGAATTTTCTTTTCTTGGGGCTGCTGCTGGTAATGACTTCGCCACGGAATTGGGCCACGTCACATCACGTCTCTTGTGATAAAACAAAACGTGCCACTACTCATATTCCATTCCTTTTTCCTTCCTTTTCTTATACACCTTTTGTCTCTATTATCTTACCACGTCACGGCACATGCAGGGACTTGATCAATTCCGGTTTAGTTCATTTCATTTTCGTTTCGCTTTCGCTTTCGTTTCCGCAAAATATCCTGGTCTTTACTAGTTTGCTGAGTGTTTGTAACCTTACGAAATGGGATTGGCGCTTCCTTTCTTTCTTCCAATATTGAATGATAGCCATGGAGTCACTACTATTCAATAGAAATAAAAATCAAGTACCTTGATTCATTGGCATGCATGTAGTCCTTATAGTTGTTGTTGAAATGTGGTGGTCTGATTGTAGTAACTCCATTAGGAGAAAGAGAAAGTAGAAAACCCAGGGACAAACAACATATGCACTTCGCGCCTCCTGTTTCTCTGCACGAGTGGACATGCCAAGTAGTAGCCTTCAAGACGTATCCTAGACAAAGGAGTGGGGAACACAACACTCTTTCCTGTTGACAAACAGAAACAATTATCGAAGGTCTAAAGACACGTCGATACAAAATAAAAAAGCAAAAACAAGATGGATATCCATTCATTCCCAGGCTAGAATCAACGTAGTAAAAAAGAGATCAAAACTCCAGGGATAATAGTAGTAGTAAAGTAGCCCGATGATGATAATGATGATGACGATGTTGATAGTCTGAAAAGAAGATACATGAATTCGGAGGATATAAGAGGAGCCCTGCTCGGATGGTATGGTTTAAGGGGGGAAAAAAGGGCTAAGAAAACAATCATGGCAACAGCTGGGTGTTTTTTTCTCCTTTTTTTTTTCTCCCGAATTCGATATCGGAGAAATAACAAAGAATGCCGCTCATCATTCTGGAGGTATATGGGAGGGGTGTGAATGATGAGCGATAGAAAGAGGAATAGGAAACGATATATGTGAACACATCACAAATAATCCCGATGCTCCAAATATGCGGGAAAACCGCAAGACGTTAAGAGCCAAAGAAATAGCTGCCATGCATGCAAACATCATAGAAGGCCACTCATGGGGTCAACCTCACACAACACTCCCTATTCGTAGATCATACCAGACGCCGTCGCCATGCTAACCCAAATGATGCATATGTACCTTTTAACATGAATAGAAGCAAAAAGAAGAACTCCATGTAAAGAACAAGACCCTTGACATCCTTTCGCTAGAGAAATACCGGGATTAGAAAACCGGCATCTACTGCCCGTTGGAGGCTGGCTTGGAAGCAGCAGGCTCCTTAGGGATAGCGATCAGTTTATGATACATTTCTTGAAGTTTAGCCCCTCCGGCGTCTTTGTTGGGCCAGTAGTGTACCGAAACATATTGCCTATTGAGGGGGTCAGTATACTTTGTTCGGAACAGAAGTCGGTTTGCATTGGACATACCATAAACGAGTCTCCAAAGACGACATGGAGCCCTGGCCCTTCAGATTTTGACCGATGAATTCACCCACCTTTCCAAGTAGACGTCTCAACTCCGTAGCCCTTTCAGCCTTGCTCGGAAAGTTCTCTTTAGTAACGGCTGACACCTTCTTCAGATTCTCGCGAATGGGCTTGAAGAACAAGCGAGCCATGTCCTCTTTGCCGGCGGAGTAGCCATTCTCATGAGGCTTACGACGCCGAATATCCTCACTAGACGCGTCGGAAGTGCGATGACGGCTTCGTTCTCCCTCATGCATGGATCTGGGTCGATCGTGGCTGGGAGTATGGTGTCGTTCAACACTATCTCTGGCGCCGTGGGTATGAGACCGATGCCTAGAACGTTCTGTTTCCCGGTGGCCTCTGCGAGAAAGAGACGGGGCGGGTGAAGCTGAGACGCTGTTACTGGCATGCGTACGGGAACCTTTCCGGTTATTCCGGTGATGATTCTCGACAGCTCTCTTCGCGCTGACACTTGAACCGTTGGTGACTTTGTCACGAAGAACAGATAACAGATAGTCTGCGCGACGAACAAGGTGAACGGCTCCTGGAGACTTCGTTGTCTTGTCTTCGGCATTCATACGTTCATTTTTCCTCTCGACACGGTGTTCTTCAAGGAAGAACTTATCGCCAAGGCCAAGGTCGGGATCGTCTCGGATCTGCGTCCACGCACCATATCCGTGCCGCGCAATACCAATACACAGCATCCCGTCCTCGCGTGCACCCCATGGACACGTATAGTCCGCGGCTTTAGTGGCTTCCGGTATCCGGAAATTCTTGAAGTCAGGCACGGCGGCCGTCGCCTCCTTCAAGATACGCATTTCCGTCGGACGTTCCACAATAGTGTACGCATTAAGACGCTTGACTCCATGGAGATCGAATAAGACCGCCTTCTTTTCTTTCTTCGTCGGCACCTTACCAGCGTGTTCAAGGGCCTCGAGTTTCTCTATGTCTTCCCGCACCAGATCGGCAGCCTTGTCAGTTATTTCGCGGAGCGCAGCCTTGACCGTCTCTCTATCACGGTCAAGGAGACGTGCCTCACGAACGACATCCTCCTCGCGTTCTACTATATTTCCATAACGAAGGTAGGCACGCAGAAGATGGCGGTATTCTTTCTCCACAAGGGGTCGTTTCGGGTCCGACTGAGCATTTGAGTCGGAGTCATCGCCATTCTCCATACTGACCTGTGCTCTCGCTAATCTCTTGGCTTTGCGTTCTTCACGGGTATCCCGTGCATCACCCGGTGCATTGCGCTTGCGAGGTCGGTTCTGCTCAATGACTTCGGCAAGATAGCGTTCATCGGCTTTCTTCTTCTCCTCTGCCTTGATCTCCTCCAGCTGTTCTTTGGGTATGATGTCATCCCAACTAAGGTCGTCCACCTTGATGTCAACATATTCGAAGGCTCGAAGGAACTCTTCGCCACCGTCAGCTTGAATCTCCTCAGCCTGTTCGGTCTGATGAAGTTCTGCGTTTGCGAGGACTGAGTCGATATCGAGTTGTTCAAGCTTCTCCTGGTTACCAGTCTGCTCGAACATCCTCTGGCCACGACGTTTGAGAATACGTGAGATATCCTCTGTTGAGTTTGGCTCGCTGACCGAGATTCCACTACGAGCCATCTTGTTTTGAATCTCTGACGCCTCCTTGTCAGTAACACCACGTTGGATTGTGATGAATTCGAGTAGAAGCTTGTTTCGAGCTCTCTCAATCACTTCCTCCTCCACGGTATCCTTCGACACCAGACGATACACACTAACCGGCCTCGTCTGCCCAATACGGTGCGCTCTGGCCATGGCTTGAAGATCAGCCTGGGGGTTCCAATCAGAATCAAACAAGACTACAGTATCTGCCGTCATGAGGTTAATTCCAAGACCACCGGCTCGGGTAGACAGAATGAACGCAAAGTCATTGCTTCCAGGAGCATTGTAATGTTCAATGGCCAAACGACGTGCAGCCGCAGGGATGGTACCATCCAGTCGTTGATATGTGTATCCGCGGAATTCCATATAATCACCGAGGATGTCAAGCATCTTGACCATCTGACTAAAGATCAACACACGGTGACCGTCACGTTTCAGCTTGGCAAGAAGCTGATCCAAAAGCATCATTTTACCACTGCTGGTGATCATTGCCCTAAGAACATCCTCCCGGCGGGTACTACCTTCCAGAATCCTGGCTTCGGCATTGGGGAACATGAATGGATGGTTACTTGCTTTCTTCAGCTCCATCATGATGTTCAATAGTGATTGTTTCTGACCTCTGGCTCCGTCATTGAGGGCAGCGTAATTCTTGGTGAGAATGTTCTTGTAGTACTCGAGTTGGACGTCGGAGAGCTCGACGCGAATGATCTTTTCGGTCTTGGGGGGAAGGTCAGACTCCACTTTCGACTTCGTTCGACGTAGCATGAAGGGTTGAATAGCTTTCGTCAGCTCCGCAAGCTTATGAGAGGCAGCTTCTGCGTTCAAGTCCATATCGGCATCAATGTGAACCAGGCCCGGATTTAAGAAGTCTAGAAGGGCAGAGAGTTCTGCAAGGTTGTTTTGAATGGGAGTTCCGGTGATGAGAAGTCGAGCCGGAGACCTGAACTCGAGCAACTTCAAATATAGCTGAGATTCGCGATTCTTCAACCGATGTGCCTCATCAACGGCCATAAACTGCCATTTGAACTGGCTCAGGAAGGTCGAGTCCAGCAGGACATACTCATATGTTGTGAGGAGTACATTGAACTTAGGCCGTCGGGGGTTCCCGTCTACCATAAGCTCATGTTCACGCAGAACTGTGCGTGCAGCCTCATTGCCATTGTAGACAACATAGTTTAGGTCAGGGGTCCAGTGGTCGAAAGTCTCAGCCCAGGATGGCATTGTCGACAGTGGGACGACGACCACGAAAGGCCCTTGCTGGCGGCGCACGTGGCGTAGCCAGTTAATGAATGCAACAGTCTGGACGGTCTTACCAAGACCCATCTCGTCGGCCAGCACAACGTTGCGATTCTTCACCCAATTGAAAGCCATGAAGTTGACACCTTTTACCTGGAACTCCTTCAGCTGACCATTCTGTAGGAAGTTCGGTGTGCTCTTGATTGTTTCGAAAGACTTGCGCGTGGCTGGGTTGGTTTCGGACTTGTCTGACACCGGGGGGCGAGAGGAGCGATCTAGAAAACGGTCTATCTCGCGCTGAGCAATATTACTAACGAGCTCTTCACTCTCCCATGTACAAGAGTCGTAAAACAGGCGCTTCCATTTGACGAAGTACTCCGTCCCTTCGTCGCCTTCGCGCATTCCGATGACTCGCTCAACTTGTTTGTAATCCTCAATTGCGTCTACATCCCTCTCACGATCGAGGTTCCATTTCTCCCGATCCTCGGGGGCAACATCTGCATCATTCTTAAGGCGGACGTCTTCGGACAGTGTTTTGCGTATGTAATTGTCAAGGCGGCGGGTACTACGACAGTTGGCAAGACTCTCGGCCGTTTCCCATGTGGCATGGTAGTGGGATTTGCCTTGCCATTTGATGTAGAACTCAAAGTCGTGGCGGCCGACGTCGAGGCTACTTGGGTCCACGCCATCCTTGAGGCGATGATTGAGCACAATATCGACAGCTGGGCGATCATCCTCCACAGTGTTCACCCAATAATTCTGCGTCATTTCGTCTGGGTCATCCTCGAACATGGAATCATCATCATCTTCATTGTAATTCGAGACCCGAGAAGCATTCCTCGTTGAGAAACGAACCTCCGGGTGCGAAGGTGCATCGTTTGATGAGGCTTGGAGGAGCCGCCGTCGCCTCGCCTTACTTGTACGAGCACGGGGACCCCCGTACTCATCGCTGTCCGAGTCTTCGGAGAACGACGACTGGGTTGCGGAGCGGGAGGGACGTTTCGAGGTGGGTTGTGAGGCCGCAGCGCGTCGACGCTTAGCACGGGGTGCTACAGCATCAGAGTCCGAGTCCGAGTCTGATTCGACTATTTGACGCGTCGTGCGGGCTCTTGCGCTTCGGCGAAGGCCGTATAGATCGGGGTTCTGTCGGATATAGTCTGATTCATTGACCGACGATGATTTCCGTTTCGTGCCACGCCTGGTTTCTGATGATGAAGAGTTTTCAGAGCCGGATGCACTGCTCTGGTCCTCGTCATTTTCCATCCCAAAAGCATCCTCATCTCCCTCCGCGTCTGGGGAGCCGGCATTGTAGGACTCGTCTGCGGCGTCTTCCTCGGGGGAGGATGATGAATCGCGTGCGGCATGGTTTGCAAAGGAGTCGGATAGGTGGTCTTCACTCTCGCTGACTGCAAGATCATCTCTGCTGCTTGCAGCATCGGAGGCAGGTGATGCGGAGTACCCATTCATCAGGGCCATTGTGGCCGATGGTTCGGAGGTAGATGGGATCACCATGCTAGTAGCTATTGATGATGAGAGGCATCAGCATTGAAGCCCGGTACGAGGCCGGAGAGGGATGGAAGACACGGCATAGTGTAAAACAGATTTACGCGACTCAGATTCCACTAGAATCGAACAGAATAGGTAGGTGAACGAGGTAGGAGATGGAGGTATGATGGATGGGCATGTTTTTGATGGCGGGCTGGATGAAACGCGACGGAGAGTGATAGGGAAGAGATGGGGGATAATAGGGGCAAATCCGAAGGCAAAAACAGGTACAGGAAAGAAAAGCCAGCCAGACCTTGACCAGGAGGAACCCGAGAACCCCTCAATACACCAGATGTAGGGGATATCTGGAGTTCTTCGGTGGGTCGAGACCGTGGAGAAGTACCCCGGCCGACAGTGGCAGGACACGTCTAGGAAAAAGCTAGGAAAGACAAATAAAATACTTACATTCCATAGCTTGGTGACCCCTAATCAGGGAAAAACGAAGAAGTAAATGGTGACAAAGTTGAAGGGGAAAGGTGGGGGGGGAGGGGAGGATGGAATGGTGGAGGCAGCAAAGGAACGATGGGAGGCCGCTGAGAATATGATGAGGGAGTAGGAAGAGTGTTGTACGTTCGGCTGGAGGTGGACGAGTCGCCGTGAAGGGATTGGCTGCCCGCCTGATCCCTCAGGCTGCCATTGCCCGCCATGCTCTGTGCGGTTTAGCGCGCCTCAAGCGAGCCTTCAAGCGGACTAGCGCGCTTTGAATATCACGTGTGTCTCGGGAAGGGAGTTACTCTTCTTCCGAGCAGAATCAGTCAATGTGGACAGTCAGCCAATCAGCACTGCCAGAAATAATGCAGCCCGGAAACAGTTGTGGCCTGAGGCAGCCACGGTTGCCCACAATGCCCGGCATAGTTTTCTCTCCAAAGAGCCCCTCCTCATCGGGGTTCTCCAGCAACGTTTCTACCTCGCTCTCTCCTTGGTGCTGCCTGTGCAGAGATCTGGCGCGTTCGCATTTTGCCAGCCCAACCGCCGCCGTGTGATCGGCTTCATCCAGCACAGTTCACCCTCTAAGCGATCTTACTGCTTCTTTTTGCAGCTGCTCCCCCACCACATCGGTTTCGCGCATTCGACGCTTGATCTGAACATTAGCCATCATGTCTGACAAGCTTACCCGGTATGCCTCCTTATGTCAACCTTACTTGTTTCTCTTGGTCACACCAGCTAACAAATCTCGGTTTTCAGTGTTGCTATTGTCAACAGTGACAAAGTGAGTTTCCTATACCCCGCGGCATACGCTGCCAACAACCATGTGTCGACGCTCCAACGTATACTGAGACATCTCGCTTCGCTGGTAATAGTGCAAACCCAAGGTACGCGAATCTTCCGATGGTCCTGCTTTCTTCGCGCCCCCAGACCTATCTTCTAACGCTCCACCCTTTCTCTTCTTTTAGAAATGTCGCCAGGAATGTAAGAAGTCTTGCCCCGTCGTCCGTACGGGTAAGCTGTGTATCGAGGTCACTCCCGAGTCCAAGATTGCCTTCATCTCCGAGCGCCTCTGTATCGGTTGCGGTATCTGTCCCAAAAAATGCCCCTTCGGTGCCATTCACATCATCAACCTGCCGACCAACTTGGAGACTCAAGTTACCCACCGTTACTCCGCCAACAGTTTCAAGCTTCACCGTCTTCCCATGCCCCGTCCCGGACAGGTGCTTGGTCTCGTCGGTACCAACGGTATTGGAAAGAGTACGGCGTTGAAGATTCTCAGTGGAAAGCTGAAGCCCAACCTTGGACGTTTTGACAACCCTCCCGACTGGGAAGAAATTCTCAAGTACTTCCGTGGTTCCGAACTACAGAGTACGTATATATAGGATCGTGGGGTCGATTGTTACAGACTTCTAACTGTATGCAGACTACTTCACCAAGGTTCTGGAGGACGATCTGAAGGCTGTTGTCAAGCCTCAATATGTCGATCAGATTCCCAGGGCTGTCAAGGGCCCCGTTCAGAACGTTGGAGACCTCATCAAGGCCCGCGCTCAGTTGGGCAACCTGGAACACATTCTCGACACTCTTGGTATGTCACAGTTGCAAACTGAGCTTTGTGATAACACTGCTAATGATATATGCAGAGTTGAGACAGGTCCAGGACCGTGATATCGGTCACCTTTCCGGTGGAGAGCTCCAGCGTTTCGCCATTGGTCTGGTTTGCGTCCAGAAGGCCGACGTGTAAGAGCAATATCTAGAACCAATTTTCTATGCGTAAGAGCTGACAAACTTCACAGCTACATGTTTGACGAGCCTTCCTCCTATCTTGATGTTAAGCAGCGTCTCGCCGCCGCTCGCTCCATCAGAGAGCTTCTGCGCCCTGACGATTATGTCATTGTTGTCGAGCACGATTTGTCTGTTCTTGATTACCTGTCTGATTTCGTCTGTGTGCTCTACGGAAGACCCGCCCTTTACGGTGTGGTTACTCTGCCTGCTTCCGTCCGTGAAGGTATCAACATCTTCTTGGATGGTCACATCCCCACCGAGAACTTGCGATTCCGTGAGGAGTCTCTTACTTTCCGTCTTGCTGAGTCCGGTGATGACTTCATGGTGGACCGGGCCCGTGCTTTCTCCTACCCCAGCATGGAGAAGACTCTGGGTAACTTCCACCTGAAGATCGATGCGGGAAGTTTCACCGACTCTGAGATCATTGTCATGATGGGTGAGAACGGAACCGGAAAGACCACCTTCTGTAAGATGCTTGCTGGTGCTGAGAAGCCTGACGGTGGCAAGAGTGTTCCTCGCCTGAACATCTCCATGAAGCCTCAGAAGATCACCCCCAAGTTCCAGGGTACCGTCCGTCAGCTGTTCTTCAAGCGTATCAAGGCTGCGTTCCTGTCGCCCCAGTTCCAGACAGATGTCTACAAGCCCCTTAAGATTGATGACTTCATTGACCAGGAAGTCCAGAACCTGTCTGGTGGTGAATTGCAGCGTGTTGCCATTGTCTTGGCTCTCGGAATTCCCGCCGATATTTACCTCATTGACGAGCCTAGTGCTTACCTGGACTCCGAGCAGCGTATCGTGGCCTCCAGGGTCATCAAGCGTTTCATCATGCACACCAAGAAGACTGCATTCATCGTCGAGCACGATTTCATCATGGCCACCTATCTCGCCGATCGTGTCATCGTCTTCGACGGTCAGCCCTCCGTCGATGCTCACGCCAACGCCCCTGAGTCCCTGGTCACTGGTTGCAACACTTTCTTGAAGAACCTGGATGTCACCTTCCGTCGTGACCCCAACAGTTACCGCCCTCGTATCAACAAGTACCAGTCCCAGATGGACCAGGAGCAGAAGTTGGCCGGCAACTATGTAAGTCTACAATCTTCTCACCTCAGCACTGGCATGGTTCAGCCGTGGTGGTATTTTCTGTGTCTCATTAGAAATATAATACTGACTTGCATTCTTCACAGTTCTTCTTGGAAGAAGAGAAATGAAGAGGTTGTTCCGGGCAAGTATGACCGCGTGCCTCACCGACGTGACGGCCGCGACTCGGACCAGCGGCGTCGCTATCGTCGCTGGGGCTACCTTCGGGTAGTGGCGTTTTTCGGCGTTACAAAGGCCTCTGCAGCTCAGGGAAGGCGGCGCCGCTGCCGTGGCGTGCGCCTTCCTGATGATGTGGATGGTGCTTTGGAGGAGGATGACGAAGAGGGAGCGGACGACTTGTCCGGCTAGGTAGGAGCAGTGGTTTAACCTGTTCCAGTTAATCCTCTCTGGCCCCCCCCTTGTCGTCGCTCATGGTCGTCCCTCCCCAGCGCCATCCACGCCTGCATAGTTCAATCTAGTCCTCTTCACGATGGTTCGGAGTGAAGTCACAACGAGACTAGTCTATTAGATTATGTTTGGGTATACGGGATTTCCTGGATGGCGCAGTCATGTCGGAGTTACAATGTTTGTCAAAAGAGTTCAAGGTTATTCGCGACATGGATGGTCCGCCGACAAAAAAGGGTGTCGGTGAGGGGGAAAAAAAGATTAGCTGGTTATGGTCAAGCTAGGTGGCCACTGTCCAAAAGATTTCTTTTTTTTTTTGAACATATTTCATTACGCTAGTCATTCACTTCGTATATATCACTTGCCTTTCTTTATCCCCAAGCATGATAAGATATATCTAGGACAGTATAGTGAACTCTACATAAGTAGCTTGTGTACGCCTACGGAGCAAATTCCCTCCGAAAATGTCCGTCTCCACCGGAAGTTCATACTCCTCCCGCCCGATGACAGCGGTAAGTATCATCGTCCAGTAAGAGACAGACCTCCCGCATTTTGTTCGCTGGATCACATGAAGAAATATCAGGAATTACTTTTGAATGATACAGACGAGGCGTTTCAGTCTAAACGTCACTGCACATGACGAGCCGTGATACGTACCAGTGGGTTTGGTTGTGGTTATACTACTGGTAGTGGTCATGATGGTGATAAGTAGACTAAGTATTATATATATATTCACTACTCTTAGTAGTCCAGATTGAAGTTGAACCCATGAAGAAATGGACGCCATGACTTCGTTGGACCATGTTACATTACTACTTATCACTACTAGCTCTGCCATAGAATATCATTATAGGTATTGTATTTTTATTTTCACCTGTCAAGAAATGCATATATCAATCGTGCGGGCGCTAGACATACAAAGTCGATATACTGGGGCAGCAAAGACGACAGACGCGTCCACCAGAACCCGACACTACAAGTGTAGAGTCAGTCAGCGTCCATTGGCAGTTACCTATGGAACGGGTAGTAGTGTGTGTGTGCGCATCTACTTAATCTTCTTCAATCTCTCCTTCTTCGCTACCGGAGTGGACGGCCTTTTCCTCTTTCTTTCCATCATCAGTCGCCGCTGGAGTCCGCTCGCGACGGTCCCGGTCTCGCCTGGCACCGCGGCTGCGTTCACGCTCCCGACTATCACGTCGGTAGCGCTTCGCAGAGCGACTGGCCACACTTTCCGTGTCGCTGTCGCGTCTGCGCCTACGATCATTGCTTGTGGTGCTTCGGGTATCGGCACCATAATCCAGCTCATCCCGACCTCCACGGGGATCACCGCGTGTGCGATAGAGGCGTTCGCGCTCTTCCTCACGCTCACGACGCTCGCGTTCGTAGTGGCTAAGAGGGCGTGCGCTGCGATCCCGGTCCCAGTCGCGATCGCGATCCCTATCCCGCTCACGCTCACGGTAACGTTCCCGGTCTCGATCGCGCTCTTCCCGTCTTTCTCGGACGGGCGATAGGCCGCTGGCCTTCCTATAGGAGCGTTCACGGTCTGCTTGGGCTTTACGGCGATCTGCCTCGTAGGCATCTGGTTCTGGGGTCCGGCTAAGACGGCTAGACGTTCCCCTTCTTTCGCCTCTATAGGATAGCCCGCTGCGATGATCACGATCACGGTCGTGGTGATCACGGCGACTTCCGCGATCCCTATCGCGGGTCTCGCGATCTCGTTCCGCATCCTCCTCCTTCTCCTTCAGGCGGCGGATGACCTTGTCAAAGGCGGCCTGTCGGAGCTCATCGGTCTCCAGAGACTTGTACTCATCGAATCTTTCGATCCGCGGCTGCACCTGTTCCCAAGTATCAGTTGCACGGACAGGGGGATCGAGACGCTTGATCCGGGAACGCAGTGCATCTATAGCGCGGCGCTGATGACGGTCCGCAGCATGCTTCTCTTCCTCGCTTCGTCGGACAGCCTTCTCCTGGATACGCTGGAAAATCAGTTGGAGTATCTCCGGATCAATGTTGGCCGTGCGGCGATCACCAGATACAGCAGCGTTGAACTCCTCCAGAGTGGTCTTTGGTGTAACCTCGAAGCGTTTGTCCTGAGTACAGGTTAGTGACAAAGAACAGAAAACCGGAATTAACCACACTTACATCAAGTACATCCAAAACATCATTACGCGGGCCGCGTAGCGAGCGTTCTTCTTCTTCAACCATATCCCAAAACAAATCCAGGGGAGAAGATCCGGAGTTACCCAGGATACCGACGTACCGAGGATCCTCGTGGATCAATGGATAGATGTTCATCCACTTGCTTCCAGCCTTGATCTTACCCTGAGATCTCAGCTCCTTCAGAAGCTCGATAAACTGCTCGCGGGCATGACGCTCTTTTCTCGCCTTTGCAGCCTTTTGTTGCTGACGCGCATCATTGAAGGCCCGCTCAAGGGACTTGATGTGGTTCTCGAACGCAGTCAAAATATCGGACTTGCTCAGGGTTCTGAACTTGTCGTCGCTTTGGACTTTGTCATTCGACTGAATAATCGCCTGTGCTTCAGACCAGCGTGTGTATGGTTCCAGGTTCAGGGACTTCAAGATAGTCACCAGCTCATCCATAGCAGCTTTACGCTTAACAGCTTCCTCCTCGATGTGCTCCTTCTTGAGCTCAACAATGTACTCCTCGAAGAGCTGGCGCCTCTCGTTTTCATCATCCGTAGATCTAAAGATGGTTTCGCCCTCGATGATCGGTCGGATGGTCTTCCAGCGACTGTAATGTTTAATCTCAGGATGGCGCTTCAGCAT